ATAGATGACATATAACTGTTGCAGGCACCTTGGTAAAACCTATAATATAAAACGAGTTGATGCTTGAATGAGATTGCTAGAAGTTGTAGCTAATATTTTATGAAGGTAAAATGTCAGAGGTCAAATATTGGCTGTGAATTTATGCGCAAAAAAAATGGAATACATGTAAAGGTGTCAGTAATTTACGTACGAGGGAGGCGGTCCGACTGATCGATGACTCTTCTCTAACAGACAGTCTCGGAAGTCTTTCGCACCGGCGGGCCGTCGGCGATCTAGCTCTTTTCTACCGCTACACCAACGGGCTCCTCGGAGCTCTCTTCCATGATGCCGTCGCGCGATGTGCCTACCCGCCTGACTTTGGCATCCCATCCTAACCGTGTCGAGCTTCGTACATCCAGAACTGGGCGATACGACCCCGAGGGTGTCGCGATTTTTGTGATGTAATTGTCATATAATATCCAAAATAACGTAATATGTCATTTTCAAAACTTTTTGAGATTACAATGCCTGCTTCCTCGCCAGTGTAGTGATAGCTAATTTACGAGGATGTCTTTTAAGTTTTGCATATGGAAATAAAACAACACGGTAGGTAGTTTTAAATAACTTTATTGTTTTTCGAAGTATTCTCCACGAAGATTAATACACATCTGCATGCGCTCGAACCAATTTTCGAAGCACTTATTCCACCCGTTTACTGGCAGATCCAAAACGGCATTTTTGAATGCGTCAACTGCTTCTTCTGGTGACTGGAACCTTTGACCACGCAGTCTGTTTTTAATTTACGGGAAAGTAAAGAATCGTTAGGACTTAGATCGGGACTATAAGGAGGATGGTCCAATAATTCCACGTTTTCTTCTGTTAAATACTGCCTTGTTTTTTGGGCTGTGTGCGAGCTTGCATTGTCTTGGTGGAGGATGATTTTTCTTTCGGGGTTGATTTTTCGAGGCTCGGTGATGACTTTTGGCAAACAAATGGTGGTACACCAATCCGCAATAACAGTTCTTTGCTAATTAAGAGGAATTGTTGCATTATGACCCGCTTTTGACACAAATGTCGCGACCATCTTTTTCGAAACACTTCGAGAACGGATGACTTTTGTTGGATTTTCTTCCCCTTGGAACACCCAAACAGCCGACTGTCGTTTGTTTTCTGGTTCATAACAGTAAATCCACGATTCATCACCACTAACAATGCTCTCCACATTTTTTGAGTTTCCGGAATTGAAACGGTCAACCGTCTTTTGACACCAATTAACCCTGGCTGCTTTCTGCTCTTCAGTCAACAGGTGGGGTATCCAACGAGAAACTAATTTTCTTACTCCTAAAATTTTTTTGAATTGAGGTCCTTGAGATCTTCAAGGACGCCTCAATCTCGCGATATGTCACATGTCTATCTTGAATGATGAGTTTGCGCACAGCATCGTCGTTTTCCTGGGTGACTGCCGTTTTTGGTGCACCCACCCTGGGATCGTCGCTAAGACTCACCCTTCCACGTTTGAATTCTCCATACCAACGGGAAATTGTCGACTGTGTGGCGCTTCGTTGCCGAAAACAGAAAGTAACTCAGCAAGGCATTCTTGTTGCGATAATTGTCTCTGAAAGTTGTAATAGATTATAGCGCGAAAATGTTCTCGATTGAGTTCCATTTTTCTAATGTCTTGGTGACACTTAAAAATTCACTGTAGTGAGAACACTGCACGAATTGTTGTGAAACTTTGAATTTATGTTTAATAAAGAGTGAGGTTAAGATTCAGTACTGACGTTCGATCCGCGCGGCCCCTACTATGTTTCTATATGCAAAACTTAGAAGACATCCCTCGTATAACATTTTTTATTAGTGAAACACTGTCTAGTTCATAATCATTCAACTTTATTTTCGGCTCTTTTGGTCCTATTAATATCCCTTTAATAGCTATTGTCTATACACAAATAACGCTTTGTGGAGTGACGTTTATATGATACGTACTATTTTTAACGCCAGGTGGTATGTGTATGTAGAGATAATTAAGGTGAGATAAGGTTAATTAACACAGGGGCCGAATGACGTTGTTAAACCAATGTAGCAGTAATGGCGTTGTGTATTTTGATATCAATCTGACCCCCCGTGTGGTGGTGTAGTGAATTCGTTGGTCCTTACCGCAACGTGGCTTATCAGAAACTGAAAGGGTATGTTTATCATTTAATAGAAAAGCTTCCAATCTACAATTTTCATCCCCTCCAAACAATGTTGGAAAATGAGCAGGAGTCTCTAAAACGTTGCAACACTATACTACAGTGATTTTTTTGTCTGTAATCCCTCCGCCTGTGAATGAATTTTCAAAATCCATGATTAAGTAAACGAAGAAAGTATTCAACTCGCGCTAATATTTGAACTTCGGTTCACAAGTTTTCTGTTGGTTAAAGATATCTGCATCGTACAAGTCCGTGTTTCTCATTTATATCGGTTTGTATGTCCGTATATGTTGTATATCAAAGCGTCATAAAAAACTGAGTCCATCTACTTGACGAAATATTCAGAGAACCATTATAGACGCAGTAATACAGAATAATGCATAGGTGAAATGGGTGGTACATTTAAGGATCATATAATTCAGAAAAGTATATGTGTATATACAGGGTTGTAAACGTTGGCTCTTAGGTATTATTTCATTATTTGATACTGTACTCGTAGAATGCAAACAATTAAAAAAACAGACTTACCACTAACTGTCTCAGCGCTTCACCTGATGTGTGAAAGTTTATTGAACGTATTAAAAAAATCCACTTATAAATAGCGAACACAATTTTGATACATACATTGTTTTTCTTTTTAAAACCCACACTACACCTCTTTTGTATTTAAAGAAGGTGTTCAAAATGTCGTCCTCCACTTTCCACACAAGCTTCATTACGACGAACCCAGTTTCTTCTTACTCTAGGTCCTCGAAGTTGTCCATTTATTATTTCAGCCGCATTAAAATTTTTTTCGCGTAGTTGTGCTTCAGTTGTTATTGGACCAGCCCGATAAACCATCCCTTCAAGTTCTCCCCAATACCAGAAATCCATCGGATTGAGGTCAGGAGACCTTGCTGGCCATTTTCGAGGATCAGAAGCATTTCGACCGATCCAGCGATTTGGTTAATGTTCATTCAAATACTGAATGAGACCTCTAAAAATGTCTGGTGGTGCCCCGTCATGAAGAAACCACAAATTCTGTCTCCGTTGTAATGGCATGTGTCTAAGGTCTGTTCCAAAAGTTCTGGTAGGTTATTGGCTAGAACGCTAAGGTATCCTTGTCCTGACAACTTTGGGGGTAACTCGAAAGGGCTAATTACTTGATCGTCAAGAATACCCGCCCAAATATTTATTTTAAAACGTTGTTGGAAATGACCTTCACGAATGGTATGAGGATGTTCTTCTTCACCGTAAACTAACAACATGTCGGCGAACTCTTGATTCGAGAACATTGTAGATAAACACGACGACGTACGCGAACAAAAAAAAAAAACACGCCCGATGCTATGCAAAACGATAACTAACCACTGTTACAGTTTGCGATCGATTGCCGGTTCGATAAGAGTGATGAAAGACCGACGCGCTGTTGTAATATGTGTTTTAAATATTTAATTTAATGTATCTTACTTAGTTACTGAGTACACATTTTGGCCTAACTTAATGCCATTTATTTGTTAATTACCCAATTTAAAAACGTTTTAGATTAGATTATTAAAATTAGTAAGATTCTGGTGATTATGGTCGATTCAAAGCACTTAAAGTTGTAAACTATAAAGCCAATCTATTGACTTTTGGACCATG